AAGTGCCATGAAGACATTTCCATAGCAAGAGCATCAATGTGTTAAAGGATTAGACAATTGAAATGGCAGTTTCTTATTCAAAAAGAACTTCTGTAGGCATAGAATCACTAAAATAGAGCCTTATATACATGTTGCTGGGTTAAGGACACTTTCTGATTAAATGTTTCTTTTTTTAAATTCATTCTCTTAAGCTCAAGTAGATCTGCCTAGTACAGACATGATTTTTCATGAGTGGATTAAAAGTGGGGAAAATTAGCCTTCCATTTAGGCTCCCAATTCCTCAAGAAAGTATTTTGCAAATCTCTTGCCAATGTGCATTATGGTGATGGTACAAATTTCTTAGAAATGATTTATATGAGGAATGAGACCCATATACTTTCTGAATTATTTTAGCATCATTCCTTTGTGATGAGTGAAAGCTCATTCATAAAGAAGTGGGTTATCATGTATAACATTTTTTCTATTTTGGATTAGTAGTCTTTGTTTCTTTTATTTATTTTTATTGGTGTATTATAACTCTACATGACAGAGGGATTCATTTTGCAATATTCATATACGCACATAATTTGATCAATCTTGTACCTTCCTTTTCTTTGCTCTTATCTCCCCTCCCCTCAATCTATTTGATCTACTCCACTGATCTCCTATTATTGTTGTTGTTTTAATCTGTGCACTATTCTATGTACATTAAATTCACTGTAGTATATTAGCACATAGATATAGCAGAATTTTATAAACTTCATTCCCTAGTACTTTTCCATGCACTCCTCTTCTCCCTCCATCTCAATCCCCTTCCTCTACTCTATTTGTGTTCCTTCTAATTTTGAGAGATTTCCCCTGCCTTTTTGTATAATATGTGTAAAATTTGCAAATACTTGCTGGATTCAAAAACTATGGCAAAAGACATTGTGAGAAAAATTTTAAAAGCTCCATACTACAACCATAGCTGGCTTAGATCTCTTACTCATTGGAGTAAAATCCCGTTGCTCTGGGATCCTGTCGCCTGCTAGACAGCATTCCTGGGTAAAAACCTGACATCAGGTGATGTGAACTAAGTAACAATCCAAATTTCATCCTACAGAATTATAAATGATCTACTTAAAGTGGTTCTTATAAAATCTGTGTTCTGGAGCTGGATTGTGGCTCAGTGGTAGAGCACTTGCCTAGCATGGGGGGGGGGGGGGGGGGCTTGGGTTCAATTCCCAGCACTGCATATAAATAAATAAAATAAAGGTCCATTGACAACTAAAAAATAAATAAATAAAATACAATAAAATCTGTGTTCTGCTTCTTAGATGTGAACAGTTAATACTGGGAATCTCCACAACCTATTCATGGCTTATTACAGCTAAAATAACCTACATATTTTATGGACCATCAACTGGGGTTACTTTTGATAAAAGTAATATCTACTTGATATGAAGCACAGATACTTATTTATTTTTATTTCTTTGAATCAGAATCTTTTCTTTTTATCCTAGAAAGTGATACAATCTCTCTAGGTAAGAACTTTTCTTGATTTTTGTCATCCAATTTTGTTCTAGACCAAATGAATTTTAAAGGCAAAAATATAAGAAGCCAATGAAACAAACTACTAAAACTTGATGACTTTAGGTTGAGAGTATAAAAAAATGTCCACTGTAGTAGTCACTCAAGTTTTTGAGCTGATTTCAAATTTTTTCAAAATGAAAAGTTGGTGGGGAAAAGTAGTTGTTCTTACTGGACTTTATCATGAATGGCACACAGCTAATTTCATAAAACAAATTCCCACAATTAACAGTTTGGAGAAACCTAATATAGCTCTGAAATATAAGTAGTGATGATCTCATCCAGCAGTTAGAAATGTAAACCTATGAAACAGCAACTAATAACGCTAGCGAAAATACATTATCAGCATCCCCATAAGCTCCCCAACTGTCCTTGGGGAAGAAACAGCTGTGAGAGCCCTAATCCTGGCTCCACAGACACTTAGGAACACAGATCTCTGCTGCAGGAGCCTTTGTTCTGCTTCCAGCCGGATAAATGGAAAGCCTTTCAGCATGACTTCCAAGAAGCAGACAGATGGAGAGAAAACTCTACAATGTGCTCTCAAGCTGACTTCCTGGGGATTTACTCAGGGGTTCCCAGGTGGAAGCCAAATGAAAATATGTGTTGGTCACCCATACACACAGTGGATTTACCCCTTCACCAACCCCCGCCTTTTCTTTTTGACTATTATTCATATCTCACCTTGGTCACTAGAGGTCATTCATTAACTCATACATTCAATCAATGAGTCTTGCTCTCAGCTATGTATAAGACACTGAGGAGTCCTTGCTCACTAAAAAAGACAGCCCTGAACAAGAAGGACAGAGATTCCCCACCCTGACTGCACATGAAAATCAACAGGGAAACTTCATAAAATTGTAGATGCCCAGGGCCTTACATCCACAGATTCTGATTTAGCAGGTGTGGAATGCAATGTCTGTATTTTTAAATAGCTTTGTAGGTAGGTTTGGTGAGTGATTAGTGATAAGATCCACTGAGGCAGCTGTAAGCCGACTCAGCTGAGATCCTTTATTAGCACAAAGACTGACTCAGTGGAATGACACTTTCAATCCCTAAAACCACAAGGTTTAGAATGAGACTCTGTAGAAATTATATAAGAGATCATGTATCTAGCTCTGCTCCAAAATCTGCCCCCCACTGCCTCCCACCACACAAACTCGCATATCCATAGCTCTAGATTCCCAGCACACTAGATCAGAGTCTACATCTTCAAGCTGCCCATGTTCTCTGGTTGTAAGAATTTCACACTTCCCATGCCCAAACAGAACTTTTATCTCTCCCCCAACAAACCTGCTTCTCCCTTAGTCATCCCTATATCAACAAAAAGCCATCTGCATTCATGTAGCGATTTAAGCCAGAAAACTGAAAGTCTTCTTACTTCTTCCTGCAAACGTATCTCACTCAGATCCATCTATCTCCACTGTCTCCACCATCGTTCTCTCTCACCCAGTTTGGGATGATAGCCTTCTGCCTAATATCCTCATTTCCTCACCTTCTTCTAATCCACCCTCCACTCAGAAGTTACCTTTTCGAAATACCAATCAGGATATGTCACTCTTACTTAAAATCCTTCAGCTAGGTTTCATTGTATATTGAGTAAAAGCCAAATTCCTGAGTGAGGACTGCTTGGTATTCCGTGAAACAACTTTTGCCTACCTCAGCGTCACTTTCGATTAATACTCTCCAGTCAGACTGAACTGCTTTTCAGTTCCTCAAATCAGTAAGTGATTTCCCATCTCAAAGTCTTAATACACACTGTTCTCACTCCCTGGACATGCTCTTCTCTACCTCTTTACTGGACCAACTCCTCCTCATCTCTTAAGTGTAAGTTAAAATGTCCTTTCCTCAGTGAGGACTTTCTTTATCCCAGATTTTAAAAGGGAATTTCTCTGTTCCTTGTTTATGACATCTACATGTTATGATTTGAATTGTATCCCACCCCCAAAAAAAACGGAAGGGTGAATCCTTACCCCCAGTGTCTTAGAAGATAATCTTGTTTGAAGACAGGACCTTTGCAAAAGTAGTCAAGTTAAAATGAGGTCATTAGGCTGGGGATGTAGCTCAGTGATAGAGCACTTGCCTAGCATGCTCAGGCCCTGAGTTCAATCCCCAGTACCACACATACTCACACAAAAAAACAGTTTAGTGTGGGGCCTAATCCAATACGACAGATGTGAGAAGAGGAAATTTGAACACAGATACACATAGAAGGAAGAGAATGTGACAAGACGTGGGGAGAAGAGAGTCACTTATAAGTCAAGGAGAGAGGCTTGGAACAGACTATTCCTCACAATTCTCAGAAGGAAAAAAGCCTGCCAATAACTTGACATTTATCTACAAGCCTCCAGAACAGAGAAAGAATAATTTCTGTTCCTTCAGCCACCCAGTATGTGGTACTGTTACATCAGACTTAACAAAATAATATATTATCCATCTATGTCATAATATTTATCACAATTTTAAATTGCATGTGTGTTCATTTGTTTAATGTTGGCCTCTTTCACCAGATGATAATCTTCAGAATGACAGGAACTGCATCTGTGTTTGCTGATTTATTTAACATTATTACCAACCATTGCACTATGTGCTGTCCCAAGAAAGGCCAGTGTTCACCAAAAGCAGAGAGGAAGTTAGAACATCGAGAACATATGTTGGATGGTCTAGAACAGATATAGGAAAACTACAGTCCCTGGTCCAAATCTGGCCCACATTCTGTTTCCATAAGACACATGAGCTGGAGTTTTCACATTTTACACAATTAGGAAAAAATATTTAGTGATATGTGAACATTACATGAAATTAAAAATTTAGGTTCATAAATAAAGTTTTATTGAAATATAGACACATTCAACTACACATTGTCTACACATGCCTTCATGCTACGAAGGAGAGTTCTGTAATTGTGACAAGAACCACATTGCCTAAAATATTCACTATTTGGCTAATTTTAGAAAAAGGAACCTGCTGAGCACTGGTCTAGAACATGGTTTATGAGCTACAAACTGGCCAGGGATGCTTAACTTCCAGGTGACATAATGCTATAGCTCACATCCTGGCACATTTGGTGTTCTAGAATATCATTATGACACAAAGTAACCAGCATGTGCACCTGTTTTCCACCCAAAGGACATTACAGACTACTGAAAAATTCTTCTCCCTAAGAGAACATAGTTCTGGTTTTATTAATAAAAATAACAAAAAATGATTTACTGATTACAAATTTTCAATTTCCTTGGAACTTTGATAGAAAGTATGTTCTCATAAAAAGTGTAAAAGTAAATGGAATGAGTCATGATTATCATTGCCAGATACACAAATATGTCGACCCAAAATTAACCTATACCATAGAAGTCAGTTCTTAGATATAAATCTATTTAATACAGGTTGATTTAAAAAGTAAGGACAAAACATGGGAGTGGTTATGTTCATATTCACACAAAAGTACCATTTACCTTTGGTGGAGGAATGAACCGAACACATTCCAGCCATATGGATAAAAAATATTTTCCACATATTGGACATTTTTTCCCCTGAGAGATTAAGTTCCTGACCTCTGGATATTGTTCAATAGCACACATTAGGAAAGGATGCTTTTTTGCTAGCTGATTCATGACATATCTTGATGTTATTTCCTAAATTAAAAAAGAAGAATATGGTTTCTAAAATTGTTTTTTAAATCTTACATTTGTTGATTCCCATTTTACTAATTCAAATTTCTTATTCCTAAGTTTTTGTTAAATGAAGATTCTTCAGTATAATGAATTAGGTTGTAAAGGACTGACATTGTAAATAAGTTTGGTTTTAATTAATATAAGTAAGTTGCTTCCATGGTAATACATTTATGTCTCCCGCATACAGGAATCAAAGTCACAATAAATTTGCACTACCTGTTTTATAAAGTAATATATAGTTTACACTCAAATTTGGTATATTTCATTTTAGTAAGCAGGACCGCACAAACATTCTGACTGGACTCAAAAATTGAGTGTGTCATATTCACTAAGGTCTAAATAATTTTTATAATCACGACTTACAAGCCAGTATCATCTTCATCAATTAGCAGCTTATCAGGAATGAAGAATCCCAACTATATACCAGTTGCACAGAATCAAAATCTCAACAAAGTGCCCAAGTAATCTGTGGGCATATTAAAGTTTAAGAAGGGCTGTATTAAGTACCTGAATATGCCACCTTGTTCAAGAGCAATAACCTCTATGAACTAAATCTCTGAATTCCACCTCTGTTAGACCTGGTTACATAGGTGTTCAATTGATTTGTGCAATAATAATATTATAATATTAAATAATAATAGAGGTAGTGAGGAAATGGAAGTTGCCTTTCGCCAGGACCATCAGCAATATATCATCCTAAAGTAAAAGTATATAATATATAATATGTAAAATCATATCTTCACTAAGAACACAAACATTTGCCTCACTTCCTAAATGCTGCCCGTTGTCTATACCAGTAGCACAGAAGTCCTGTATAACTGTAACACAAACACTGCTTGAAAATGCTAATGGTATATGGGCATAGTTTACTTGGGACACTTTTTCTCCTGGCCAAACTGAAAGAATTCCCAGGAGGATAAGAATAGTCTACATCAGGCTCTGATAGGAATCTTTGGGAATATATGCATGCATGCATAAATACATAATCTTTCACTCATTAACCCCAATTAAAATCATTAAAATTTTTTAAATAAAAACAAACTCCTACAAATTCCTACAGCCCTGTTCCCTTATCCCTCCCACTTAACAAGAGACTAGGGAGTTGCTTTTATGCTGCAAACAACCCTGAGTGTGTGTTCCTTAAATGTCTGATCCTTCAATAGCACAACCTCCTACCGGATTCAGCTCATTCTCCTGGGTGGTTATAGGACTGAGGTCGGCTGAAAGAATGAATCTGAAAGCACTAATATTACCAGGACTCCTAATTCAGATGTCCAATGCCCCCCTTTTTCAAACTATGTAAGCAGAGCCTAGCTGGTGATTCTAAATGAAATACATTGTTAGCTACATGAATTCAGTGGTTAGGTCTCACTATAAAGCTGAAGAAAATTCATGGGTAAGTATTCATCACCCCCAAATAGAATTTGTTGAAATGCATGGGACCTATAAATAGGTTAGTATAGATCATTTTTCCCCTGCATGATTGCTGGACCCAAACATATTTGTTGCACTAAGTATATCTTGACAATTCTGACATCAACCTTTCTTTATATTCTTCTATTTGCTGCCAATGTGTTACTTTGGAGGAATAAATGTACACCAATAAAATATAAAGTAAAGCTATTACCTGGAAATGCAAGTATATATAAAGTAAAATACTATTTACCTGAACAATAGTACCTTTTAGAACACCTCTTAGAGATACATTCAATGCATTTTGGGGGGCAATAAACAATTTAGTAATGGCCTAAGTACAGTGTTATTAAAAATTAGTAAATCTTTTATAGGCAAATAAATTGTTCATTTTGAATGGCTTATATGTTATTATTAGAATATTTGTAAGCCAACTTATGCAGGTCAGTTATTCCTATTTCTAATTCATTATAAATTGGAATTATTTTCATGGGAATTATTTTATTTTTCCTTACATGTGATTATTTCATTTATGTTATGAAATTATACATCTATGATTTGTATTTATATAAGTATAAAAATTTTAAATGTAGAAACAAATATGAAACCTTAGAAGAAATGATAGGCTTTGTAACTATTTCAAAAACAGCTGTCATGTTGTATATAACAGGCACTAAGGAAAATTTTAAGAAGAATTCACTGTCAAATTCAAACAGATACAGAGGTTCAATCCTGGCTCTGGGATTTATAAGCTTTGCAACCCTATTTGGACAAGCCTTTAACTTCTCTGATCTTGTATCCCTCCTTTAAAAAATAAGGATTTTTCCAATGCCATCACATAGAGTTTTGAGAATTCAATCAGCTAACACTGGTAAAACAGCATAGCAGGTATAATGCAATACATTCTGGTTAATATTTTGTTATAACTTAGTTATGAACATTCAATTTTAGCTTACCTATCTCTGAGATGAAGTTTTTAAAAATTCTCTACCAAGTCATGACTATTTCAAAACTATAATTTTTTGACACCCAAAGGAGGGAGTTTAATCAGTAACATTAACCAAAAATCTAGTCAAAATGATTGTGACTTTAAGTACAAATATATAATTTATAATCAATTTAAGTCACCTTTCTAAGAAAAATTCTTGGAGATATTTTTTAAAATACCCAAATATTTCACATACTGCAAGAAAATAGTAATTGTTATGAATATAAGCATATATTTATCTTATATATTTATTACAATTTAATGCTTGTGTGCATATAAAATTAGCTCTTGTGCTTCTGGACCTTATAGTTTTGAAAATTAGAAGAACAAAATATTGCTGTGTCACCTTGAGTGTTGGCAATATTCTTGCCCTTGAAGTCTGTCTGAGAGATTGCTGCCATATTGGGTTACCTGGTCATCCAGCCTCCTTCACAAATCAGAATCTCCTCAGACCAGGACTACCCAGTCTCCATTTTCCTCACCTTCCTTCATCCAATTTCTGAGGCAATATTGCAATAGAAGTTTAGTGTTCAATTCTTTAACCTGATATCAATGTTCAAACACTATTTCTGTGACCTTGAACAGGTTATATAACCTCTCTGGGTCTGTTTCTCTATAAAAAGGGGACCATAATGGTACCTACCTTTCCAGTGTTTTTAAAGAACTGCATTATCAATTTCTGCTAAATACTTAGAACACTTAAATTCCTGCCTTGCTCACAGGAAGCTTAAATAATAAGTGTTAGCTGCTGATATTCGGAAATATTCTATACTATTCTGATGCAGGAGGAAAAATGAGTCGTAAGGAATTAAATAAATTGAAAGCTACAATTTTTCAATGATTTAGGATTGAATTTTAAAAATGAGTATTTTTCCACACAACGGTAGGAAATAATATTCTTTATAGAAATATTCTCTAGAAGGAAAATTTGAAAAGAACTAATCTGTATAAGAATCCAAATCTTTGCCCCACCAGTTTCATTCATGGAGATATGGACATGAGCTAGACATTTACTTTGAGTATGGTCATTGTTGCCTTAGACAATATAAAATATAAAAACCAAAAAGCCAAAACTTATTAATAATTCAAATAGGAGGAAGTAGTTAAAATGTTATGACATAACAGAATACCATATTTCTATCAAAAAAGATGTCAATCTCTTTTCCTGACTGGAAAAAAATTCACAATACTTTTTTTTAAGTGAAAACAACAAGTGTAATGTGTAGAGTTTGAATTCATCTTTGATTTAAAACACATCTGTATGCATAAGAAGTTTCTAGAACAACAATGTCACAGAGAAGAGTGGTTATATCTATGCACACTAGAATTCTGAGTACTTTTTATCAGTTTCTAATTTCTTTACTCATTGTAAGAATCTTCCCAAAGCAGTATATTATAACTAATTTTTAGTTTCTTCTTTGTCCATCTGTATTTTCTAGTTTTCAGTAATTAGTATGTATGACTTATACAAAAAGGGTAAAATGTATTTTAAAACAAAAATACTGAAATACTTGCTGAGGGTCACAGAACTGATCAGTGCTAGAAAGGGGTTTAATACCACAAGGTTGGTTGTTTCCTACAATAGTAAATGTGAACCCTATACAATTCCTGAAAGTCTTATGACAATCTTACATGCTCAGCTAAGACCTAAATGGATCTGGGATAAGACCAAACTCATGATACCCAAATATGGGAGGATTTGTAATCTGTAACTTGTCAATTATGAATGCAATGCTTTACTATGCTTTCCTATTTCTTTTTTTAATATCACCAATGAGGGGCTTGGTGGCACATGCCCGTAATCTCAGCAACTCAAGAAGCTGAGGCAGGAGGTTCACAAGCTCAAGGCCAGTCTCAGCAACTCAGTGAAGCCCTCCACAACTTTGCAAGACCCTGTCTCAAAAAATAAGAATGTCTGGGGATGTGACTCAGTGTTTACACCTTCCTCTCCCCTTGCCCCCAGGTTCACTTTCAAGTACAAAAAAAAATCATCTTGTTTTACTAAAGTAAACATGAGTTCTGGATCATATTCATTCAGTCAGTAGGAATGGAGACAAATGAAAAGGAGATAGAAGAGGTAAAGAACCCACTAAAACAAATCAAATGCATCTTTAGATGATACAGGAAAAAGTACTTAGAAGGCCAAAGTGAAAATAAAGTCCACTCTTTTGTTCCAACAAAATATTTCCATTTCTCTGTGTTTAGTCACTCTGGAAATCAGATAGGATTACACTGGATTTTGTAAGCAAGTCAAAAAATTATGTGTAGGATTCACATTGCCAATGGTCTTATGTTACATTAATCATCTGTTGGCTTGGCCAGAACACTTTAAAAGAAAGACCTTTTAAACTTTAAACCATGGCTTTAGTTTGAAGACTTATGGTGAATGAAGTAAACCTTCACCTGTAAACTCCAGATGTCCTCTTGTTGCACAGCAATGGCTGGCCGCTTCATGAAAAGTGGGTTTTCCTCACAGTAGAATTCCTTCAGCTTCAGATTCTGAAACTTTTAAAACAAAATAAGAACAAAATGACAGATGTTACCGCCAAAGCTGCATCTCCAATAAAATTAGACTAGAATTATTTAAGGCATTCTAAATTAATATTTTTTAAATGGGACATCTTCTAGAAGATGTCATTAGAAGTATAAGAATTTTAATGCTGGTATGAATGGGCAGGATCTTAAAGGTCCCTGGTCACATTCCCCATACTGAGTGGCTGAGAACACTTGCTGAGGTTCACAGAACTGATCAGTGCTATAAAGGGGTTTAATAACACAAATGCTGGGAACATTTTGGAAATACATGTTAGGAAACCAAGCATGATGAAAAATATTCTGAAATGCAGCATACTCCAAATTTCAAAGATTGTCTTAGCATCCATGTTTGTCCAGTGAAGAGCCCAAGAACTTATGTGGTTTTAAAAGTTAAACTTGTTCAAGGAATTACATCTCTGAGCCTGAATTCTGCAATGGAATTACATCTCTGAGCCTGAATGCTGCAATAAAATGAGGACAATAAAATGAAGATAGGACTGAACCTATCTTCGGTGTTATGCTAGTCAACAAGTACCCTGGGAGAAAGAAAGATTAAGCAAGGAAGGAAAAGAAGGAAAGAAGAGAAGAAGGCAAGAAGGAAAGAAGAAAGAAAGACCCTGAACACAGAGTTGGAAAGACATATACAAAATCTACTCTTGTGAGCCAAGGTAAGTTGGCTCTGTCACAATGCAGCATCTCATAGAATTTATGGGAGAATTAGATTTCTGCAATTTCAGCCCAGGATTAGAAAGATAGCAAGCACTCAACAAATTATAAACAATTGATTTAAAACATCATTCCAGGGCACCATGTCATTAGGTTTCAAAAGTTACAGTAAAGCTTGAACAACATAGAAAAGACTTCTAAATAAAAAAGTCAGCTCAAGGCCTCTTTAGTATCACATTTAGTCCTGGTTTCACCACGGGCATTCATTCTAACTTTCTTAATGCAGTCTCCAGTGATATCCCACTCCAGAAAACAATCTAGAGAGTTGAACCCAAAGGCAGCCATAATTAAATGCGGGTTACTAAAATTAAAAGGGATACTTCCAGCACTTAATATTATACACAACCATTTTTTCCTCCTTGTCTTAATCAGTAGCAATCCATAATTTGTACCTAAACTCACAAAGGTTAAAAAATGAGCATCTTAGATATGTAAATAGCATCAATATATGTAAACCCCATTCAAATTTGACCCCAGTTCAGAGGATACGCATTTCTCTTTACAGTCATGTTTTCTTCCTTCAGGTCCTTTCACTATTATTCCATCAAGCATAGTAAAAAGAATTCTCCAGCTTGTAATCCAATACAAATACTATCTGAAAGAAGTTACCTTAATGGAAAGAAAATCAATAACGTGTATCTTGCCACAGGTATGTTTCAATAACCTAAAGTCACACTGTTACGGGTTAGATATGAGGTGTCCCCCACAAGCTCACATGTGAGACAATGCAAGCAAGTTTAGAATTAAAATGCTTGGATTATAAAAGATTTAGCCTAATCAGTACATTAATCCTCTGATAGGGATTAACTGGGTGGTAACTGGTGTGACTGGAGGAGGTGGGTGGTTCCTTGGGGGCAGGCCTTTCGGGTTTATATTTTGTCTTTGTTGAGCATAGTATTTTCCTTCCCCCTTTCTCTCTCCTTCTCTTTCTCTCCTTCTCTCCCTCCACCTTTCCCCATTCTCTCTCTCTCTCTCTCTCTCTCTCTCTCTCTCTCTC